CAGGCGGCAGCGGCACTGGGAGCGGAGCTACGGGGAAATCTGGAGTGCAGCCCCCTCCGTAGGCCCTCACCCAGCGCCACTGCCACCTGCCCTGAGTCCAGCCCCTGCAAAGGAGAGCCTGGTAGAGCCCAGGCTACAGCCTGCAGTGCAGATCCAGGGTCACATGCCTCTCCCGCCCTACCCAATGCCCTCCTAGAGTGCGTACAGCAGTGGGAACTGCCCACCCCCCGCCACACGAGCCATGGCTCCATCCCGCATCCACCCCACCCTGGCTGGGCAGTGCCTGTCCCTGCCCCCTTCCTTCCTCACCACCGGGGGGCGCTGACCTGCCCCCCCACCGAAATCCCTTTCACAACAGACTTGCCAGTTGCACGCTGCCAGATTGTGCTCCTTGCTGCTTGCGTGCTGCACTGTGGCTGTGCGCATGCATGGGCATTTATTGACCAAATTATCGGCCACTGTGAACGACGCGTGCCCCCCGAGACTGGGGGGACATGGCGACCGCCCGCAGGTGGCAGTGTTGACAGCAGGGGCGTGGTGGCAGCAAGCAGGGTGTTGAGCGGGCTGAGTGGGGAGCTCCCGCAGGCAGCAGCAGGGGTGGGGGGTTGGTGGCGATGGCCAGCAGTGATCAGGGACCCCCTGCAGACACCACCAGCAGTGTCGGTGGTGGGAGGGGGGGAAGAAGTGTGAGTGGCAACCACCTACATGCACCCCCCCCACATCACCAATGTCAGCCACTTCAGGCCGATTTCTGACACAGCCAATTTTCTTTATATTGGTACCAATCCAATATTGGACCGATGTATCAGTGCACCTCTAAGGGTTATAAAAGAAAACTTTTATAAATTACTTCACAAACGGTACCTATATTCAAATAGGTTGCAATACATATTTTCTAACAGTGATGCACCATGCTAGAAAGAAGCTCCTTGTTCTGTATGTAGTGGTTGAACCCAGAGCTCCAAATACTCTGAGAGAAAGGGACCAGAATAATAACGATTGTAGTAGTTGGAAATACTCCTTTTGATTCATTGATCTGTCTACTGAGTGCCTCCATAAAGAAAATTTACTTAGTGAAGAATGAAGAACTGAAAATCTACTTGTTAGCTGACAGATTACGCTCAGATGTGCAAGGACTCATATCCATCACTTGCAACACTGAAAATGTAGTTTGCTACAATACAGGACTTACTAGAGATGGAGAAACTGTCCCATCAGGTTAGATTAGTAGACAAGAGATAGAAGAGGAATGGATATTTAAAAATATGGAGTCATTCTTGATTTATGCAGAGAACAAAAAACTCACCTGCAAGTAAGTCAGAGTCTCTAGCCAGAACATCTGAGTATCAATGACTATTACTGAATGTCATATTACATATATAATCACTATATTGAGAGGTGATCATTTATAATAATTATCAGATATTATATCCTTTGTAAAGATGTATTAACTGCACATGCAAGTCATGTGTATTTATTCTGTGTTGCAGTTTTTTCTGTAGTTACCCAAATTAAAAAAAAAAAAATCAAGTTTAAAAGGAAAAGAAGGAAGCTCTCTGTAATGTGGATTCAGATTCTTACCTCTTCCCAGCATGTCAGCTCTTTGTCCTGTAGGCCAATCGTCCACATATCATTTAACCTAAAGTATAATTTTAAAATATTCAGATATTAAATGGATTAACATTGTAATTGCTTATTTTAGGCTTCTGGGGTTCTAAGAAGAAAAGACCTAAGTCAGCAAGAACAGTCCAAATCTTCTAACACACTAAGAATTCCCTTAACTGGAGACTGATGGGTGGAATAAACACAAAATCTGCTAAAGATTTTTGTACCTACTACGATCACCCCGTGTGAACCTGGGACTATGTTACACCAGTCTAGTTGCTTCTGTGCTACAGCAAACAGCATTTCAGAGCAGGTCTGCTCTGAATAGGAGATGGGGGGGGACAACAGTCAAGGAACCTCAGGGTCTATACCATCTTCCAGATTCTATAGCTGAAGCTTAAGAGATGAAAAGAAATTTCTGACCCTCACCAAGAGGCAGGAAGAAAATAAGAAGACAGACTGCTGAAAGGAGCATAGGTGAGCACCGAAACCTACCCCACACTGGGAAATAAGACCAAGCTTAAGAATTGATTCTAAATCCCTTAGTTCTGCATCCTTACTGAACTTTTCATCTGCCCTATAAACTAGAAGATTTTAGGATACAGTCCTACCAACTGTAACAAATTTCACCAAGGAATAAAGCCAAACATACTGTTCTTCCTTTAATCTGGTTACATTTTTGTAATGAAGTGCTTACTTTGTCCAGTGGGTTTTCAGCAGCTTCAGAAGGCCCTTCCTTTCCCATTCACTAAAATATACTGAATCATCTCAGAAAGTTTGGAGGGTTGGAACACAGAGATTACTTTTGAGGGCCCCTCTAAAACACATTACTTAAGAAACACATCACTTTTGTAGTGGTGTATGTACCCTTACAGCAGTACAAAATGTGAACATCCACACATTCAGGATGTCTGTAGCACTACAAAGATCCACCACCAAATTGGCAGATTGATTAAAAAAAAAAAAAGACTTTGTTTCAAACAGGAACTTCTTTGTAGGGTTATGTTTTGTAATGCTACATGGCATATGTGGACAGTTACATTTAACTTTGGGGGCAACCCCAAAGTTAAAGGGATCTCTTAAAAGCATTCTAAATAAACGACTGACTAAATGTTACAAAAAGAGAATTAGGAGAGGACAATTTGGTACATACCGAGCATTTCCATCATACCCTGCAAAGATCCACAGTTTGTCACTATACACTGTTGCACCATGAGCTGACCTTGCAACTGGCAATCTACAACAGGAAAATAAAAAACTTACCACCTTGCCTGCCCAACAGAGGTTATAAACAGTTTGATCAGTAGAGATTTGCACTTCAGGCTAGATATACCCTTACAACATGTACGAATGCTCCTAGCATCAAGCAGTTTGGGGGGAAGAAAAGGCTATCTGTTACTATGTTGCCAAGACAGCACAGATTTATGAAAGGATTCCCTAAAATGCATGCCTCAAGTTTTAGTGAACTGTTGTTGTCTGTTGATAGCAGATCTCCCCACAGTATGTATTTGGTTACAGATCATAGGAAGGAAGGGCTGGAAGAGACCTCATGAGGTCTAGTCCAGCCCCCTGCTCAAGGCAGGATCATTCCCAACTAAAACAGCCCAGCCAAGCGTCTGTTTGACCTGCTCTTGGAAATTTTGAGGGATAGAGATTCTACAACCTCTCCAAGTAGCTTGACCACCCACATAATAAGAAAGTTCTTCCTAATCTCCAACCTCAAGTTTCTCTGCTGCAGGATGATTACATAAAAATGTGTACTATAACAGGTCACAGATAAGAAAACTAAATCCCTTTCCATCTGCAGATTCTAGACTCCAACTTAATTCTGAAAAACCTAGTAACTCCATAGTAAAGACTGAACAAACGTTGTTTAAGTTTTCCAAGATATTCTGAAACCTGCATGAACATTAAATTGCCTTGAAAACTGCAATGCCTCAGGGGGGCGAGGTGAAAGTGATGGTGCAACTAGGTTTTCTGACATCCAACACCTGAAGTAAAAGACTTGTTAGTAAAATGGTCCCTTTCCTATATTTTTTATAGACATCCGAGATCAAGAAGTGCTGGACTTCAGATCCACTGCACCATCCCCAACTTTGATGTTGTGTATGGCATTCAGTTCCATTCTGTACCAGACATGGGACAGACCCCTGAGGAACCCCACTTAATGCCTCCTCCCAACTAGACACTGAGCCACTTGTCAAGCATCATACTTGTCAAGCATGATGTATCCATCTTACAGTACTTTCACTTAGTCCATGTTTTTTATAGCTTTGTAATAAGATTGTCATGGGACAGCATCGAAAGCCTTGTAACCCACTTTGCTTATAGGCATTAGACACGTATCTGTACAGGCAAAATTTCTTGAATATCATTTTAATACTGCTTCACAAAAAAGGCAGTGGTGTTGTGTTGAGGTAAACACTGAGTACTTGGGGCATGATCAGAACCACTAGTTAATTCTTCAGATATGCACAAAAAGGCCAGGCAGAAGCTGTCAATCTTAAGAAATGCTGTTTTTCATTTCTCTTTCTTTGGAATTCCTGGCAAAATGTCCCCAAATTTGGATAAATAAATCAATCCCACACCTCTATGAGGCGCATCAAATTTCTAGGCATCCCAAGAAAGAACATGGATTTTAGAACACTTTAAAAATGCAGCCTTTAATAAGGAATCCTTAGGGTTAAGCTATAGTGGAGCTGACCCTACTTGCTCACAGGCACAGGGGCTCATCACTGCTGCTGCTGGTCCCATAGACCCAGCTTAACAGGAGTCCCCGCCGTCCAGATCCAGCCCAGGGCCCAGGGTGAATTTAAAACCCCTGGTCTAATCAACTTTAAGAGGTCAGGCATCTTCATGACATCCCTACTGGAGAAAAAGCAAATTTATGGGGGAAGAACAACACACAGATCTTATTTGCCTCGCTATCACAGAACTGAAATACATGAAAGAACTTTGAGAAACTTTCCAATATAGCCCATTCAAAGAAAGCGGAAAGACTTGAGCAAGTAACAAAAGATTATAATGGAAAACGTTTTGCAACTTGAGAGGTAGTACTTCCTACTACACCTGTGGAACTGCCCATGAGCCTTTCAAAAGTACAGACTGAAAGGTACTTCTTACCTTCCTTCTGTCTTCCACTCTGTCCATTGGCCAGTTGCAAACTTATACTCAAAGAGATCATTTTTATTCTTCAAATTGGAGTTGGAGTAAATGTCTCCAGTGTAGCCACCTAGATAACAACAGTGTATTAGAATAAATTTCATATTTGGCACTATATACATTGGCCTAATCAACATACATACCTTAGTAAAGCTTAAGTTTAGGTCAACCCTAAAATAACATTTTATGCAAATGCTGGTTCAACTATTTCATAATAAAAGTCTAAAAACTATTCCCAATAATATGGGAGGTCTGAAATTAAATAAGAAAAAAAATGAGAATATTAATTATATTATGATGCTGCGGCTAGTAAAGCGACCAAAACGCTGGCTTGCATCCATAGATGCTTCTCAAGCAAATCCCGGGACGTCATTCTCCCCCTGTACTCGGCCTTAGTGAGGCCGCAGCTGGAGTACTGCGTCCAGTTTTGGGCTCCACAATTCAAAAAGGATGTGGAGAAGCTTGAGAGAGTCCAGAGAAGAGCCACGCGCATGATCAGAGGTCAGGGAAGCAGACCCTACGATGACAGGCTGAGAGCCCTGGGGCTCTTTAGCCTGGAAAAGCACAGGCTCAGGGGTGATCTGATGGCCACCTATAAGTTTATCAGGGGTGACCACCAGTATCTGGGGGAACATTTGTTCACCAGAGCGCCCCAAGGGATGACGACTAGGTCGAATGGTCATAAACTACTACAAGACCGTTTCAGGCTGGACATAAGGAAGAATTTCTTTACTGTCCGAGCCCCCAAGGTCTGGAACAGCCTGCCACTGGAGGTGGTTCAAGCGCCTACACTGAACACCTTCAAGAGCAAACTGGATGCTTATCTTGCTGGGATCCTATGAACCCGGCTGACTTCCTGCCCTTTGGGCAGGGGGCTGGACTCGATGATCTTCCGAGGTCCCTTCCAGCCCTAATGTCTATGAAATCTATGAAAAAAGATTCTGATATGCAGTCCTCTATCCAGACTTCCTTTGTTTAGTGAACTGGAAAAGAATCACTTGACCACTGGGTTACTAATGATAGTTTTGTTTTATTTTAAGAATAGAAGATGAAAGTAAAGAACTCAATGCTGAAGCCCTGGCTGTGGAGATGGGGAGGGGGAAGGTACCATCGCTACTGAACCAGAGATCTTTGACTTTGATTTATACTTCTTAAAAAGTTGAACATTCCCTAAAACCTGATAAATTATCAAACATATTCATCATTTAGTGTACACGAAGCTGGAGTTTGCTATTAGCTTACCAAACACAAACATGCTGCTCCCATAAACTACTGCTGAATGGTGATACCGAGGTGCTGGAGGACTCCCAGTAGTAAAAGCCCTGCATGGTGTGACAAAATTAAGTTTCACTTTTGCTATTTGTATGCTTCAAGTACACAACAGCAGTAGCTTGAGTTCAATGTAGAGATTTAGGGGGAGGGGCGGGGGGGGGAAAGAGGAAGGGCAAACACTTAATTGAAATGTTTATTTCAGTTTAATATGTTAGCATTTTTGTAGTTCTATACACTTCTTAATCATTCTGGACATGATGTTATGATGGATTAAACTCAATACAACACTTTGTCTTGTCTATCTAGTCGCCACAGCTAGCTTACAGTGGGCTTGCTGAGCTAACACCTACATGCTGACTAAATGAGAGGTTACTACCAGTGAAAATAACTAAAACAGAAATTTCTGCATGAAATAGCAGTCATGCTTAAGGATAAAGGCACTGCTTATGGCTGGTTGAGATCCAGTGGTGCGGTAAATAATGCAATTTGCTTGACAAAATGATGGCACATGCTGGCCACAGACACTTTGAGTGACAGGGACTGTATGAAGTCATGCAAAGTTTAAAGGTTAATGCTGAAATAAATTCTATAAGGTTCTGTACAGATACCAGGGGACAGTACAGAACCCACGACTCAGACGGAAGAATAAGGCTA